CACTAAAAGAAAAGAAATAATAAAGATCAGAGCAGAAATAAATGAGATAGAAAACAGAAAAACTATAGAAACAATCAACAAGACGAGAAGCTGGTTCTTTGAAAGAATTAATAAAATCGACAGACCACTGGCAAACCTAACAAAAGAAAAGAGAGAGAGGACACAAATAACACGCATTAGAAAAAAAACTACACATGGAAATTTAATTTAAAATTTTTTGTTAAAATAGCTATATAAAAATAACTACATTTAAATATACACTATTTCCTTATGTCCAAATATTTAATAAATTTGTTTTCCTTAATCCAAAAGTAAAGTATTTTTTTAAATTACCTTTACCTAATATGTTCTACCTAATATCTACACTCATGGAAGCAGCAGTCAAGAATTTAAACGACATATTGCATTAGGCAAATCTACTGCCTAAGATCTCTTTAAAGTGTTCAAGAGTAAAGATGTCAGTTTAAGAAGTAAGGTGCACCTGACCCAAGTCATGGTATTTCAATAGCATCATATGCATGTGAAAGTTGGACAATGAATAATGAAGACCAGAGAAGAATCGATGCATTTGAGTTGTACTGTTGGAGAAGAATATTACAAGTACCATGGCTGCCCAAAGAACAAACAAATCTGTGTTAGAAGTATAATCAGAATGCTGCTTAGAAGCCAGGATGGTGAGACTTTGTCTCTCTTACTTTGGACATGTTATCAGGAGGGACCAGTCCCTGGAGAAGGACATCATGGTTAGTGAAGTGGAAGGTCAATGAAAAAGAGGAAGACCCCAATGAGATGGAGTGGCTCAAGTGTAGCAACAATTGTGAGGATGGGGCAGGACCGGGCAGTGTTTCATTCTGTTGTGCATAGGATCACTATGAGTCAGAACCTAACAACAATATGTTCTCTCTCTCTTTTTTTTTTTACCTAACGTATTCTTCCTCTTTCATTAGCTCAAATTGAAGAATTTTCTATTATTATACCTAAAATAATGGTTTTTGTTATTAGGAGATTTAGAAATTGAAGTCAACTATATTCAGCAAACACTTTGCATATAAAGACTATAGTTTGCAATACAGTATTCAACAGAGCCTGTGTTAAGATCCTTAGAAACTTACTAGAATTAATCATTAGATGCATATACTAGATCAAGCAAATAAGATGGGAAAGATATGATAGAGTAGTTGTCCATCCAGTAATAACCTACATTGTAAATCTTTACAGTTCAAGTCCTTTCAAAGAACAAAACATGAATTTGCCCAACCATTAGGGTTAAGTGCTTTGTTAAAAGACACCGACAACCACAGCAGTCTAGGGCTGTCTGGTAAAACATTATGAACCAATGTACGGGACCAACTCTTCACATTTGTTGTTGTGAAGTGCTGTCGAGTCGAGTCCGACCCGTAGCGACTATATATATATATATGGTTTCTAAGGAGAGCTGGTGAGTTTGAACCACCAACCTTGCAGTTCAAACGACTTTGCAGTGTGACGCATTAGCCCACAGCACCACACTAGGACTCCACTCTTCACATAAGACATGCACTTATTTCTAGCCACCAGGAAGTGAGTTAGCAATCCCTCAGCATCTAGTTAGAAGATAATGTGCAGACATATCCAGATGATAAAGATTCTGGCATACTTTCACATGCTGCCTCACCTAGAAAAGCACTCCCAGAGTATTCTAAAACCACCATTGTTCTCATACTCGAGTTACCTGTGAATTTCTGTAAAGCTACATCTCCATAACAAAATAGAGAACGAAAAGTATCAGTATAAGAACTATTTTTCAAGCTGTCAGCTGTACTTATCAGGGAAAGGTGGGCAATGACCAAAATCCCATGTGGAAATATCCAAAACAGCCAGGAAAACAAAAAAGTTGGGTTGTTTGCAGAGAGACCCTTTCTCAAGGAGAATGCTGCCCAAGGCCACCCTCAAGTCCATGGCCCAGCTCTTTCCATACCCTTTCTGAGCTTTGGGGGCTCCACTGTATGCTAGATGCACAGGGTGGGCACAATAGGCAGCTCAGCTGCTCATCTCTAACTCTCACTATGACAGAAGGCACACACTCAGAAACAACATGCAGAAGGGTCCTGAATTGAATGAATACAAGAATGAAGAGTTGTTAGGGGGACACGGAGGATGATAAATGGGGTGTACTTGGAATGCTCTCAGCCACTAGACAACACTGGGTTTGTTTGCAATCCAATCCAACCTGGCCAAGACCTGGCTTGCATCAATTTCACACAGAGCTGTACAACCCAGAATGTCTGTCCACTGGGTCTCTAGCCCGAGTACAGTCTACCATGGTGCAGAGTGTGTTCGTGTTGCAGCTGTGGTAAAGCAACAAGTAAACACAAAGAAACGAACAATAAGCGAGCAAGCTAGACGTCAGCCCTGCTTCACTATTGAGCAGGTGTGTCATCTTAGGTAAGTTACACTACCCTGAAAAGGAGAAGAAGGACTAATTAACACAGACTTAGCATCCTATAGACACACTATCCCAGTTACTGCATAAAGCTAACTAACTGCACTACTGTTTTTGCTTAAAAATACTATTTCAAATGATGAACAATTTTGTAATTTATTTTCTTTATAGGATTAATGCAATTCAAAAGAAAAATAATGATTTGGAGATCTACACATCTTTATATGGTTTACCTTTGCTATCTGGGAAAAGAGCCTTAAGGAGAAATTTAAATTTTTGCATATCCTCATATCCATAGCAAAGCTGCCATCCACCAGCATGCACAGAGCTGGGCCTAGGTTGCTGCAGTCAGTGCAGAAACCTGACATTTCCACTGTCCAGCACTGAACTCTACACCTTTTAGTGGAGAGGAAGGAGGCGCAAGGAAGGAAGGGACAGACAGGACTAAGACCCAGATGCCTGACTGAGTGGGGCCAAGTTTGACTGCAGGCACTCATCATTTGTGTTTGAGAGTCCTTTTCAATTCACTGAAGGGCAGTGACAACCTCAATGGGCTCCAAAATCCAATGAAACCCTGCTCTGAGTCGGCCTCATGGCCCTGTTGAAAGAAAGTGCTGTGGCTTGTACCTGCTCAGGCAGGGAGGCAGGTTTACATATGCTCAGAAGTGTTTTAATCCGTTTAGAATTTTCTTTCCATCCTCATGCTCAGGTTGAGGGCTATTTTACCTGGTATCTGGCAGAGAAAAGGACTGACCTGCTGTAGTCTAGCTCTCTGCCTTGGTATTCTGCCAGGTGCAAAGACTAAGGCCACTCTGCCACAGCGTGTCAGAGAGGGTGGGTGCAAGACGGCCTGGGGACAGCCAACTGAGGCAACATGGCAGCCCACCAGGCCAGTTCCCTATCCACTGACTGTCCTGTGACTTGCTGCCTGTGCTGATTGCCCCATGAGGGTGGGAGGGGTGACGTCAGCAGTAAAAGCCTCCCATGCCTCAGTGGCTGCAGGACAGGCTCCCTATCACAGGTCTGGGGCATCACCACATCAGAGAAGCACAGAAAGCCACTTCTGTTACCAGTTGAAAAAGAGAGGGTAGAACTTGATGGGGGGAAATTTAGCCAAGTTGGTTAGATTGCTCAAAGATTTTATAAAGATTCTATCTGAATGATGAACTAACTAACTAGCACTCCCATATCTTTCACGTGCAATTACTAAAACCTCCAATATGTTAGACCTTCTGGCAGGTGAGTACCTTGTTTCTGAACACCGCCTACACCAGCTTTGCTAGCGGGGGTGGTCAACGGCCGCTCTGTACTGACCTATGTGGGCGTGGGCCGTAAGGCTGGTGAGTGCGGCAACGGCGCTGGGAACGGTGGCAGGTCTCCCTCCCGGGTGAGATGAGGTGGAGGATGCAGAGGATGAGGTGGACGAGCCCTGAATGACCCGGTCGAGCCAGGGCTCGACGCTGGGATGGCTCTGGAGCGGAGTGGAGGTGAGTCGCCCAGGTCGCCGCAAAGAGCCCTCATCTTCTGAGGCGGACGAGGTGTCTGTGATCAAAATAATGATGACAGGCATGTGATGCAAGAGTGAGTCACAGGGATGGAGCACCCACACACGTCTGCACCTTCCACACTTTACAAGGAACGTACTTCTGTGTAATGCACCGCCCAGCTTGATGCAGCCACTCAAGGCCGCTCCTCAACATAGAGCGCAACTACTGGACAGGCTCTAAGATCCAAAGAGCCTTATTTAAGGAACATGACCCCTCAAACTTCCCCAAGGTGACTTATTCACACAAGTATCTTCAAGTTGGTTCCGACTCATAACAACCCTGTACAGGGTTTCCGAGGAGCAGGTGATGAGTTGGAACAGCTGACCTTGAGGTTCAAACTGACCTTGCAGTCCACTGCTTTATCATACAGAACCACACCATGACTTAGTCGTAGCAGACACCACACACAGGGAGTGAAGACAAACCTTCATATCAGCACTGAGGTCAACATGCTCATGTCGAGGTCATGAATACTAAAGGAGCCCATGAAGAAAAAACACCCTGTGGACCTCCCATGTCACTATGGAATGTCCTATGGTTCTGTGGATTGCCCATATTATGATTCAATATCCAATAACATAAGGCCATCTGGTTCAAAGCCTCTGGCAGGGTAGCTCATAGCAGCGCACACCACCCACACCTGTAAGATCCCCGTAGGCAGGGTCCTGCCTGAGCAATGCCCAAGCCTCCATCATTCCTATTCCATGAGTGAGTCTCCCAGAAGCCTCTGTGTTGTTGTTGTTAAGTGCCGTCAAGTCCATTCTGACTCACAGTGACCCTATATAGGGTTTCCAAGAAGCAGCTGGTAAGTTAGAACCACCGACCTGTGGTCCAGTGCTGATTCTACAGCACCACACCAGGATTCCAGCAGCCTCTGTAGGGCACAGGAAACAGCAGTCTAGCCTGTCTCATAGGTGCTACCCTGTCCACCTGCCCTCTAAGGGGAAAGCACATAAATTAGCTTAAAAAGTAATTCTTTCTTCAAGACAACTATTTCAACATTTAAAATTAACTGTGAGTTAAGACTCCATCAAGTCAGCATGACTTGGCCTTTTATTATGGCTTGACAATTATTGAAACAATATTTTATGATTGAACCGTATCTATGGCTATATTTGGAAGTGTGATGGCTCTGTACGATAACCACTAGACTGTGAGCCACAAAGCCAGCAGTTCGAGCCCACCAGTTGCTTCTTGAGAGAAAGATGAGACGTTCTGCTTCTGAAAAGATGTACCATTTTGGAAACACTATACAGGGTTGCTATGAGTCACACAGAGTGGATAGCACTTAACAACAACAACATGGCTATATTTAGGAGAAACAATAATTTGACAGACTTTTCCAACATTTTTTTCCAACAATATAAATTGTGGGTTGTTTTTTGTTATTTTTCCCCCGCAGCAAGAAAGTATTACTAAAAATTCCACATTGTCTTGTGACTCCGGTGAGTCTCACTTTCACTGGTTACTAATTCCAAATACATCAAACCAAAAACGAGTATCTGTCTGGTTTTGTTTCTTAAATAAAATTACAAGCAATAGTAGCCCAGGGATAGAGTCATTAAAATAATCAAGTTCCTGGTAGAGTTTTAACAGAAAGCTTAAAATACATTATTGTTATAGAGAAATTCCATACAAGTTTTCATTTGTAAAAAGCAGCATCAAAATAACAAAAACAAAATAAGACAAAAAACTTCCAAGCATTCTTATGCTCTCCCACATATCCTGGTAATAGCATAGCAAATGATAATTATTGAGATGAGACTAATTTTAAAATTCTTACAGAGAACTTCAGCATTCTAGTCATGTTTATTTTCAGTTCTTCTCTTTACTAAAAGACTTAAATAAAAAAAAAAATAGTAAAACAAAACAAAACAAAAAATTTTAACATTTATACCAAAAATCCAAGCACACTCTATATATGACAGATTTTTCAGGTCAGAAATCATTAAGCACAGAATATAATAATGTCAGCAAACAGAAAACAGAGGAGCATCATACGCTGCCTGTACGCACCTGGAGGCGTGTAAGTGTCAACAGACGAGTGCACTAGTGCGGAGCGCCGCTTTGAGGGCATGGGCATCTTCCTTTCCTTGTACTTGGCCAGCGCTGCCTGTACAGCTTCTGTGTGGACATCTACACATAAACAAATGATAGAGAAAAGACGTTTTAAAAGGCTGGTTACAAAGCAAAAACGTGGAATTTCATTTTGCGCTCAAAGGTTCATTTGAAAATATGAAAGGAGCACACAGTCTGCCCACATGTTGGCCTACTACCAGTGTTTCCTTCCCTCTCAGGAGGTTGAAGAGATTCACACAGGCTTTGAGAATAGACATCTACCCCCATCCCAGTCCAATTAAAACCAACAGTGCCACTACTCTGATCCCAGAGAAGACATCACTAATCTGTCAGGGTGAGAAAAAAGTAAGTACAATTAGAAAGGCTCAGGGAATTCATCCCCATGTCCCCTTTCTGAGAAAATACTCAGGAAAGGACTCTACCAAGAAACATAAGATCCTGTACAGAGGACCCAAGCAGCTGAAAGATGAACAAAGAAGGGACTTGTGGGCTCAAGGAACCTCGCAACACACAGAGTTTAGATCTGAGTGGACAGCAAGAAAGAGCTATGCACTGCCACAAGAGGGCTCTAAAAACTATTTCTTCACAAGGAAACCATAAATACATCTGAAGCTAAAATCACTCCTGTATCAACCTATCTACTGGGGGAGGTAGAAGGAGGAGCAGAAATGTCCTCCAGACTTTCCTTGAGGAGACAGAATATTTAATAAACATATTAAATCTAAAAAAAGGAGACATTACCACAATGTATGAGGTTTAAAAGACAAAGAAACAACTGTAAATGATTGACAAAGCTGACAAATTCCAAAGCACACAAAGACACACACACACAACCCAATGCCAACAAGTACAGGGTTTCCAAGGCAGTACATCTTAAAGAAGCAGAATTCTGAGAGTGGCTCGCTAGTAGGTTTGAACCACTGACCTTTCAATTAGCCATCAAGCACGTAACACCACCGATGTTCCTTAAGAAAAACACAATATGCCAAGAAATGATTCAAGAAGAAACCTTAAATAAGGATTAAAGAAATGTATCTACAGATAAGAATACTCTCATTTTTAAAAAAGGTCAGGTTTCCTGGCTCTCTCCCAACAATTAACCCTGAAAAAACCACAGATACAAGAGTGAAGCATAAACTGAGCAGTGAGGGAAACCCATCAGGACATTGGTGAGTCTGAGTACACCCTGCCCAGAGGAAGCAGAGAAGCCAGAAGAAGTCTGAGGAGACTTCCTAAGCTGGCTGGCACATCCCCTCAGTACAGCCTTGAGATATTTCTGACCTGTCTCCTCACTATAGAATTCCACAGCAGTAACCTAAGTCACGATTATAATTCAAAGTGTACCTGGGGAGAGTCAGAAACAGCTGTGGACCAGCCCCATCCCTGATGATCTCCTGGAGTACCACATACAGAGCTTCACACCAACCCTAGGTCTCCCTCTCTAGGGGACAGGACTCAAGAATAACGAATGGTGCTCTGTGTTCCTAGTGTTCCTCTTCTCCCCAAGATGGTCCAGAGGGAGACCTGACATTTGGGTCTTCACACATATGCAGAACCAAAGGGAACATGGACTCCCTGGTCACACAACACACCCCTGCACTAGACAATCACTCTTAAAACATCCCCATACACACTGGGTAACAACGTGGAGCAGAACTTTTGGAAAAGATAAAGCTAAAATTTAAGAAGGTATATCAAAAATGAAGGATGAATAAGAAAACGTGAAAAGAACTGAATGGAAGCATCAGGTGTGAAAAACATCACAGATGAAAAGAAAACATGATGGGTGGGGGTAAATACAAAGAAGATTATAGCTAAGGAACAGATCAGTAATTTGAAAGATCCCACGAAGACCCTGCCCAGAAGGCTAAAGACAGAAGTGCTTCTGGATGACTGGAGGGTAAGTAGAGGAGTGCTATTGACTGAAAAACTTCTACGAAGATGGCAGGCAATGACATAGTTTTCTGAGTTCTGAGTCTGTCCTTAAAAATACAAATAACAACCAGAGCAAAATTATGCATGTGCGCCACAAAATCAGGTGACAACAAAAGGAGAAATACTGCATAGGGCCACTATTGTAAAAGACTAAGAAAAAGAACCCATACTAAAAGAGGGGGCGGGGGAAGTGATTCTTTGCTGGTTACTGGGATGTGAGGGGCACAGAGAGGGGAGGAAGGGGAAGGTGGATGACAGGGTAGGGAATAAACACAAGACAGCTTGGGTGCTGGGTGGGGAGGGAGGACAAAGCACAAGAAGGGGGAGAGGAATGGAAGAACAAGGCAGATAATGGGAGAACAGTTAGGTAGGTTTGCATGGACTAAGTGGGACAGAGGTAAATAATGATGTATGCACAAGCTTGGAACAACAGGGCTCTGGGATACAGGGACTGAGGTATGGTCTGAATGGGTAAAAGAAGGGAAATAATGTTAAGATGCTTGGCTATCTTTTGAATCTTGGTTTCCCTGGCATACCATTGTGAAATAGACACTCGAGGAGAAGAGAAAGGAATAGCCAGAAACATCACCACAGAAATCTTGTAAGTCCGTCTTCTGCCTATAACTGATTGGAATATCTAAAATGGGACTACAACATACCCAATGAAGGAGGCTTCCTGCGGAGCCTCTGCATTGCATAAAACCGTAGGTAGAATCTTGAACCCCCCATCCAGAATGTTCTGAGGTGAGTAATCTCTGCTTGAAAGAACAAGCAGACAAGCCTGGATGGCTAGAAGAACAGAAGATACTTCTTGAAAGAAAGACCAACAGGAAAAATAAAAAACAGTAACAGCAGTCCGACTGATTACTATAAGAACAAGCAAGTTGCTCGCCCAGGAGTCATCAAGGCAACTGGTCGGGTCCCATCAGGGCAAACCCCCTTCCAAGACTAATACTTAAGGGAATACATGAGCAGGCATGTGGTCTGACTGGTAACCACATTGGTCACCAATAAGGGGAAGTGAGGGAAAAACAGCAATGAAGCTGTGAGCTAAGTCCTATCACATTCACTAGACTCCTACGAACCCGGCAAGACCTGGGGACTCCTGGGCCTAGAGACAGTGACATGGCCACAGAGGACTGGAGTGGAGAATGAAGCATCTAGCTGTTATGAAGTGAGGGCATATGAACAAGAACACCCACACTTGCAAATTAATACCCACTCGACTGGCTTCAATGGCTGAATGATCAGAACTCGATGAGAAGAAGAAAAAAGGGAAAAAGAGAAATCTGATACAATTTGATGAACTTGACCTATACCTATGGATACAGTAGCTCAAAAGAGGGCACAAATCTTTATAGCGAGGATCATTCCCACCCCATTGGTTACAAGGTAGACAGGGATGGGCAACTTGGACATTGGCTACCCAAAATGGGAGGGCTACAAAGGCAAGAAGTGACTGGCTTACAAGCTTTTAAGAGGGAGCCTAGATCCAGAGGGCATGGGGGAAGATAGAATCTCCACTGAGTAGTATCCAATCTGTCTGTCCGGGGCTGATAAAAGGAGATGGGGATAAGACTCTTGTGGTACAATACTGAATAACTGCTATCAGGACTGACTGTGAGGGTTGGAAATGTAAAGCTAGACATTTTGTAGCAAAGGAGGGGAGTGGTTGACTTTGCAGTCCAAGAGCAGAGGGCCCTGGAACCATCAAGGGAGTAGAGCGGAGTGCGGGACTCTACCCAGAGAAACAGTGATGCCAGAGATGGAGGCAGAGACGATGACGTGGAGAGATGGAGCAGCTGGGGACTGTAGACCCAGAGAGGGAGAGGGGCTGTGTGCAGGCTTGCGGGGTATACCTTTTGGTTGTGTGAATATGCATGGAAGGGACTGTAATCATGGCAATGAAATAATACACGATAGGATGAATGTAAAGCTAATGTTCTCCCATGTAAACTATCACATAATTCACAGTAAAAACTTTTAAGAAATATACACTTGAAAGCACAGAAAGTTAAAATGAAAAAAAAAAAAAAAATCAGGTGACAAGGCATTTTTAGGAAACTTGTAAAGTGAGTGAATGTACAAACTACCAAGTATAAAACCTCCCACATGTGTAACAGAAAGTAACAACTCAATGGATGGGCAAAATAACAGAAGCTCCTGAAAATAAATAGTATTTATTAAACAGAGTGGTGGTTATTGTGAGAACAGTAGGTGGAGAGGGCACCTGCACACTAACTCTTGAATAAAGGTGAGGTTCATAAGAGCTTTCAAAATGGCCCACACTGAGGAGACACTGCTGGGAACAAAACTCAAATTGAGCAGGGCAGGAATAATAGCATCCACATACAGTAATGAAAGACAAGTAAAATAAAAAGGAGGGAGAGGAACCGAGGAGGGAGTCCTCACAAGGTACAATTTCATATCTTTTCACTTTGTAAAAACAAGTAAGGAAGCCAGAAAGCTACAAAGCAAGAAATAGTCTCCTGGACCCATCCTCCATTCTATAATTGCAAGAAAACATTCCGCTGGGGAAAAAAAAAAATCAAGAAAAATGAGTTGTACTTGAATCCTGCACCATTTGATTATGGAAAAAAAAAAAACATATAAGGAACAGAATAGCATTGCTACAGATAATGAAGTCACATCAAAAAGACATGCATCAAAAAAGTAGAGGATAATAAATGCTGGCGAGGATGTGGAGAGACTGGGATGCTCCTGCATTGCTGGTGGGATTGCAAAATGGTCCAACCTCTCTGGAAAGC